TGACAACGTGACGTGGTTACTCCATCGTCTGCCTCGCGCTCTTACAACCCTTATAGTTCAGTTATGCTTTCCCTGATAAACGCGCGTTTATTTCTGTACCCGACGTCTGGACCCGCGAGTCGTGTTGGGTCACACGTTGGTTTCGCGCGGGGCTTGACCTCGGTCATCCCGGCTGCGGAGACTTCGATGCTTGTTGAGGGTGGCGGACGGTGGAGCGATCGGTGTTCGCCTTTGCTGCTAGTTGGACCCGTTCTCGTCAAAATCTATATGGACTTTCGTTAGATTTATTGTTCCGTTAGAGATGATTTATGTTGCTGCTCGATTACATTGGGTTTTAACCCTTTATCGGCAGATTTTTCTGGTAACAGTAGCGGCCAGTCGGAGTAAATATATATGTTTAAAGATTATTCTTCTGTAGGTGATTTATAGTAAATATATGGATATTACAAATATAGATTATTCCTTAAAGTTAATGTATTTTGCTGAATATAAGTTTCATGGAGAGTAATAAGTACTTACGACACCTCTCGGTCGTAAAATAACACTGTACTCCGAAAAAAGAATAATGCCGCCATAATGGCGACACCGATTTTGAAGGCAAATGTTAAATATCACCACTGTGGCAAATTAGTTAATACTGAACGTTCCTACACTTTATACACACCTGTTCCTACACATAATTATTCAAATAACTAGTTATAAACCGAAGATTAACAGGTTAGGCGATCAATTTTTCTTAATGAAGTTAAAAACGGGGGAAAGGCAAACATTGGAAAATTGATTATTCGGACAATATCGGGATCGGCGTGAAGTGAAATGAATGAAGGGGAACGTAGAATTTGGAAATAAATTTTCAAACCGGTGATTTGACTGTTTAGTGTTAGGTAGAAGTGGACGATAAGCTGAAAATAGGTTGGTTGTTTTTTGGGGGGGTTCGGGTCGGATTCTCGAAAATTTCGGATCCCAAGATTTGTCGCCAAAAATCGCACGGTAAACGAAAGTTTCTTCTGATTATCTAGAAAACTGGAAGAGAACGATATCTTTGTCACAGTATAATGTGAATGTAATAGATAGTTCGTAGTACGTTGACCGTGTTACGGGATCATTTGGTGGGAAGACAAATATCTTCGTTCCCGTTGCAAGATACACAGTACATTTCCTTTAGTCTACTACTGCGACCAGTTTATACATCACCCGCACCCTCCGCCGCAAGGACGGGGCAATTCGTTTGAGTTAGCCGAAGAAGGCAACCACTAAAAATGTATATTTAATGTTCTAGGCCGAGCTGGCTTCGTTGAGGGATCGCAAGGCAGCGATGCTGGCGCTGAACGTCTCGACGCACAGACTGATCACCGATCACGGGAACTTGACGTCGATGATCTTCACCACATTGAAAGACGGCGTGGCGGATCTGTACCGTATATGGGACGAGACTTTCCAAAAGTGAGTACCATTACAGGAAGTTACAACTCATTTGCATTTTACATCGAACGGAATACATAGAGTGAAAAATGTGGAAACTATTGAAACATATATGTTCTTTATATAAATACAAATATTATATAATATAATATAAATATAAACATAAATATGAATACAAATACAAATGTAAATATAAACATAAATATAAATATAAATATAAATATCAATATCAATATCAATATAAATATTAAATCATCCCATGAGTAATGCGGTTTTTATATCTCTTGTATTTTTAAAAGTACAGATAAACAAAACTGTTTTTAATCAAAAACATATTCTCCTTTATTGTCTCTGAATTGTCTATGTACACATTATAATTACTTTAAAAAAGATCTTGTTTATCTTAATTTTTAAAAATAAAAGAAATATTAAAAAAGTCACATTATTTATGAGATGTCGCAATATAACGTGCATCGGGTCTGAAGGGGTTAATAATAATTCGGATTCTTAAATATCTTCCGTGTTCGGTTTCTCTTCCCGGCAAGAGCATGTTTATCGAGTTCCGAGCCGCGCGGAATAGGTGGTTTAGGATCATTGACTGACCGTTCCCTGGCCGGCGTGTGACGTTCGGCAAATATTATGAGAGGCAATGAAGCCTCCAGAGCAAACATCGGGGAACCCGTGTGTACCGGCACCGAGGGCTCGGACCTTCGGGATCTCGACCCGTGTCACGGGATTACTAGTTTTAGCCGGGATCGCGCGTTTAATCTTGGCTATTTCTAAAGTGTCCGTCGCGCCAGGGAAACATCTATTTGAACGAGTTTCTAGTAGGTTACACCGATCTTGTGAAATGATTTTCTGTTAACCCCTTGCTTCACGATTTCTTTTGCAACTCTCCTTTTCAACACTATGTCGTCTTTAACCCCTTGCTTTGCAATAACGTGCGAAACTCGTGGTGAATACTTTAAATAGAATTTAACGAACATAAATATTACTCGATTTCTTCGACTTCAAATTAAATATTATTCTTCTCTGATCAATTATTATATCGTAGGGCAAATGTAAACTTAGAATGCGCATAAAACTTTTCTCTTTTTTCAATAAATTTTTACTGTAAGCGCTTAAGAATCATTGGAAAATAAAAGAATTCTCTGTTCATTGTGCATCCACGTTTTCTGTGAAGATTAAATCTTTATAAAAGAAAGATTAGATGAAAATTAATTTGATTTTCAACAAGGTTCAGATTTTTGTAAGAAATCTGACAAAATTAAAAGGTTTCATATCACTTTCATATTTTTGAATAGGAAAATTATAATTTCAAAAGAGATCTATCAGAAATATTGAATTATTTATTATCATTATTCAGTATGCAATTTTGACATTATTCGCGTTATTAAATATTTATTTTTAGTATCGTAATTATCAGTATCATTTATCATATATATAGTTGTAATAAGTGGTTTATCTTGCTTAGGTCTGTATAAAGTTGAAAAATATGTGTATTTTCTAAAGTAACGTACATGTCCCTATTGAGTTACGCAAGTCACAAGGCTTGAAATCGACACGCGGTTAGAGGCAAACAGCGTGTAGCCACCGGTCAGATTTTAATTGCCGTATGAGCACTTGATTCCCCTATCTGATAGGGGTCTAACCCATGCAAAAAGGTTTACCATTTGACCCACTGGGGTTTTACAAAGGTTCGTCCTTCCCGCTTTTCAAATGCACCCTCGAAATTCCAGTTCTTTGATGAGTATACCCGATGTTTGCATACAGTATACTGCAGAAAGCTCGTGCATTACACTGTAATTTTAAAAGTGTTTCTGTAAAGTGATATACACACAACATCCACAATTTTAATCTTTCCATTGTTCAAAATTACGAAATATGTACAAAGAATTAATGTTAAAATTACGAAACACAGAGAAAAGGATCTTCTATTATCTCGAAACTTCCTTTAGACGTGTTCAATATAAAAATGCGAGGAAAAATGTATTTTAAATGTCTAAATATTTAAATATATAATTTACATACTTAAAGTTATTCTTCTTTTTTATAACTTATTTATTACTTATTACGACTTATCTATAATTTATAAAACTTATTCGTTATAAGTTATTAGTCTCTCCATAACTTCTGTTATTCCTAACTGTATAAAAGCTAAAACATATCTTCTACAAAAACATAGATTACTATTCGTAGAACATGTGATTCACATTAAGACCTATGCAATTTTGTCAATTTTTTCGTGAAACTTTTTCAATCATATGTATAGGTCGCACAATCATTTTGTGGCGATTCGTGTGCAGAATTGCAGGGGTTGCTAGGATTGCCCACGGATAAAATGTTTTTATTTACCGATAATGCCATCGGGCAGCTCCGCTAATAATTCGACGCCTCCCTGTTTACTGAGAGGCTTTGCCTTCATTCCAGTTTTTATTATGTTGACCCGCGTCGCGATTTTTCCATTCAATTTCGTCACCGATTCCGAGGACGGGGAAGAACCGATGTTTGCCGAATGCCTTGAATCTATTAAAGTGGAAATTTCTGATCGCAGTTACGAATGGAATCTCCGTTTTCTTTCTTTCAATTCTTTTTTATTATGGTAGATTGTTGTCGCTAAAGTTTGTTTCGTATTCTTGATGAATTAATAAATAAAACATTGGCATACTTGTTTTATTTATTGCATACACCCTGGTAGTAGAATTCTTGCTTTTCTACTATTTTAAAGGAAAACTCTTTTTAGGGTTTGCTATTGTTTTGTTTATTAAGAACTAAGTGAGAGTAGCAGAATGATTTCCATTTAACTAAATTTAAATTTCTGAAACTAGACAATTTCTATTCGTTTATAAGTAAATATAATAAGAAAGAAGAATGAAATATAATAAGAAAAATTATTTGTTTAAGCTTACATATCGTTAGTCAATACTGTATTGATTTAATAATTCCTTATATATTTAATAATTAACTTAACAACTGTTAATTATTTAAATCTGACATAAGAATTTCTTTCTTTTATTATAATATACATATGTTTGTATATATACAAATTGCCACGAAGGCTAATTATATATACAGTAATAGATATTAGAATAACTAATAGTTACTGCAATATGTTACATGATTATACAATACATAATAATATAATGAATATTAAAATTCTAGATACTGGAATAATTATCTATCATTTAATTTAAATAGTCGAAAATCCTTGTTTTCTATAACGATCCAATAATTCATGCAGTGTTTCGTTTAAACGTATTTGAAACTGTGATTTATCTATTTTTCAGGGGCAATCAACAATTATGCGCTTTACAAGCTGTCCAGCAGTTCAGTGTTCGTTTGGCCGAGCTACAGTGCGCGTTACGAAGGGATAAGGATACCCTTGCAGTTTTGGATGTTGCCCTCCAGGCTGGAGCTACCTCCGAAGTGGCTTCGTCAGTTCGTCACGTTGCCAGGTTGCTGTCCGAGAAACAGGATATTAATTGTCAGGTGAGATGGAATTCTTTGTACACACGGGCTGACCTATGGTGCTTACTGATTTGAATACTCTGGAATCCATAAGGAGATCTCCATACTGCAATACTTGAATTTTTGGAAAACGGGTTGCCCTTTTGTTTAAAAGAAAATATCCGTGCAAATAAATGTAGCCTTCTTTCACTGGATTTCTGAACTTCAAACTTAAAAAAAGAGAATTAATACTTTAAAGGAAGTATAAGAAAATTTGATTATGAAACAGTGAAAGACAGGCACGTAATCTGATAACATAGTTGATGACTAGAATGTTGTTTGATCTAATTACACAAATATATTAACACATTACTGCATTTTCTGATAATTATGAGTAATGTTAAACAGCGATTCATTTTGCGATTAATGTTTTAATTAAAGAACTCTAAGGTACGATGAAAGTTCATTTTGCTGAAGCTAACAGAAAATTCTGTAACTGCCTGATAACACTTATTTAAACAACATCAACATTGTCGTACTTACATTCCTTAAGTACGTCAAGTCGCTCGACATTTTTGTGAGACATTCATTTTTAGTATACAATTTCATTCGTTCAATGATGCGTTGTAAGTGTAACGGAAACGAGTGAGACCAGTAATCGTGGGAAATGGTTCGGCGATAAAATTTTTCAGTGCTGCTATGAAAGGCGTCCGAAAGTGATTTCGCTAAGGCAGTGGAAATATGTCGTAACTGTTTTATTTCATGAACATCTGGGTTTCCCCGACAGGAAATGCAAACGCGTCAACTGTTTATTCGATTAGATTTTTAATGGTGAAATATATTATTCTGTGATATTTGTTCCATGATACCACCGCAGTAGATATTTCTCATAGTTTATTATTGGTGAAACGATCATTCATTAGAAGGCTTAAATTTATCACCTTTATTCTCTAATGTTCACTCGTCCAATTTTGGTACAAACAAATTATTCGAGCTAATTCTCGTTTTGTCCGAGATAATTTGAATTTCCGAATGTTATACAAAAATTGTCATTAGTCTACATGTTCTTACCATAATATTTTCTTCAATCCAATAAATCGTCTAAACAAAATATTAGAAAAATAACTGAAACTAGTCATTGAGTTCCTAAATATAATGTCGTAGTTTATAATTTCTAATAATAATATCCATAGGATTAGTTTTATTTTCATTGTGTAAAATATAAGATTACAGCCATCACAAATATGTGACGCTGGCAGCGAACGTATTGAGCTCAAATCTTTCACCTGCACATTTATTCATTGTTTCCTGTTATACGTACGTTTTCGTACGCGTGCGCATTGTTCCGGTTACCCTTCCCCTTGCCTCTTTGCACCTTTAGTTTGGCGGACGTTCTCCGAGACGCGAGAGGTGCACTGTATACTTTCAATACTGGCTGTTCCAGCGTTAAAGGGGAGAGTCCAGGGGTAAGGGCCACTAAACGGCGCGCCGACGATGCGTTTCGTATCGCGCGCCACGTCTTCGCCCGGATAATACCTATCCTTCGCTCCACACTTGGTCCTTTCCGTCCCTTTCGTACTTCGGCCATGCCTTTTCTCCTTTATTCCGCTGCTGCGATGCCTATTACCGTGTCTACGGCGTGTTCGTCGATCTTCCTTCCTCTGGCCAGTCACGGATGAGATTGCTTCGGACCTTCTTCACGCGTCGGAGCCATTCGGTTCTTACATATGCCAATGAAACTACCTCTCCACGTTTTTATCTCCGATTGGTGAGAACGTTTTGTGCCGGCAAAGGACGGGCGCAAGATCGTTAATGACAGGAACGAGAATGGAATTATTTCGCGATTATTTTTATAGCTAATTGGACGGTAAATTTGTCGACAGTTCGTCTCGATTAGCATTCTCTTCTTCTTGTCGTTTTTGGTTCGAACTTGGTGGGATGAGGTAAAAGGGAAGAGGTTTCGAAATTAAGTGTTATACTTAATAAGGAGCATTTTTCTTGTGGTTTATGTCGTGTGAGTTATTTATGCATAGGCGTTCCGATGCTTTCGCTGAGAGAGCGAAGGCTTTCGACGATCTTGTTTGGAAGAAAATAATAGACAAGTATTTATTGCGCCAATATGGATATGAAATGTTATTTTTGAATTTTACTATTTTTTAAGTAGCTTATTGTTAGTTAATGAGTTAGTTAAAAATTATGGAGAGTTAACGGATTGGGTGAGGATATTAAATGGAGCTTAAATAAAGTAAATAGATTTGGCCATTCAAAGATTGAAGATTATATATTATCTATTAATATAAAATTAATTAGTATACAAATTAGAACTACAGAAAATTCATTTGTCATATTTCTCTTTGAAAAATGATTTTATACTTAATTATTGTCGATATTACCTATATTCTTCTTTATACAGTAGGATACTATCAATTTTTACGTTGACAACTACTTTGAAATGTATTCACTCAATAAAAGAACTTTCAATAAATTTGAAATTCGATAGAATAAAAGGAAAGTACTTAGTTATATCCTGACTAAATTTCAATATGACCAGGCAAATCGTGGAAAATGACTATTCGAATGAACTTAAAACATCAGTTACGAAATCTACGGTAAATCGTTTAACCGATGTTCCCACGGTATCCTTGATTTTCAATCGGTTAGATAGCTGCTAGTAATTATTCAACGTCCTTGGATAGGATAACGGTCCCCGTGGGTATCGCTTGTGTGCATAAAACCATTTCCCTGCTTAGATTGGGTGAGTGGAAGGGCTCTGGGGACACGGCTGTTCCGAGGAAGGCGAGATTATAAGGCGAATCATGTTTATTGGTTCAACTTCTGCCACACGACAAGAAACTTCCTTTGAACCCTACTTTCCTGCTTTTTTTTCTCGACGAAGTAGCGTATGACACTGACAACTGATTCGTTTCAATAAAGTTGGAAGAATACATTTGTATGTCGTGCAAGATATAGAAAGTTTCAGTAGTATTACGTTTATTTAAGTATTTTTAGAATTACACATTGTACAAGTTCTGTACACAGTATCTTTCTTCTCTCCGTTTTCTAGCCCCTCTGTTCTCTTATTCGTTCGTTTTGTTTGTTCCTTCTTCCATGTCACAATTCAATTTTTCCTTATAGTTCGTTAAATATGTAAAATATGAAAATACGTCAGGCGAGTATTTTTTAGTGTGGAATAATGGTAATCCAAGGAAATCAAAATTATTTTAATATTTTATTTCATTATGCGAATAGAAGAGAATTTTTATATCTGGAAGAATCAAAGCTGTCGTTCCATATACATAATAAAAATTATTTTCCATGAAATTTTTAATCACTACTCTGTAAAGTGCATATTTCATAACGTGAATACATACCATCGAACAATTTCTCTTGCCTTCGACCTCGAAAGATTAGCAATTTTCCATTTATTTTAATTATACGTAGGAATAATGAATGTACTATAAAGTACACAAGTTAAACAACTCTCTCAAGATAAAAAATATCGTTGAAAGTTCTAAATGAGTATTTAACACTCCATCTAGAGGAAGTAAAGAACACCGTGCTCTGTCTCAGAATGGTACAACGTTGTACGGTGCGCCCTGACGTTCTGGTGTTGCTGTTGGCTCTCCACCGAAATGCACGGTCAGAAGCGGTCTACCTCCAAGGGTTCTTCCTTCATAAAACAAAGTATAGCTACTTGAGCCGTATAATTACGAAACTGTAGTGTATACTATTAGTTCCCTTAACACGTTGACTGCCACGAAAATCTTCAGAGTTTTGTGTATCGCTTATTGTAGCAAAGATGAAGAACAGCAGTTATTTATTAGTTGGTATCGAAATGCTTACGCGAGACTGTCATCTAGTTATTTACGCTATTAAACATTCTCATTCGATATTAGGTATCTGACAAATTAACATTGTTTTCAAGTGATTTTGACGCTCCGATTATCGATGACCACCGTAGCAGTCAACGTGTTAAAAAATCCCCTTAAATATTTCATTAACTGTTGTCAAATAAACTCCGTATACGTTCCAAAGGAAATACTGCCATCTCCCCGAAATTGCCCTATATTTACTCAGAGAAACTCGCAAAGATTCTTCGTCGATTATAAAGGCCGTATTTATGAAGTCGTAGAAGTAATGGCGCCATTGGCTGAGTTTCCTGGAAGGGCCCAGCACGGAGGGTAAGAACGGGTCAGATTAGAGGGTACGTTTGACAGATGACACTTGTCGATATCGTGTTTCGGTTAAACGCCATCGCATCCCCCTATTCCCAACATATCCGTCTTTCATTTGCATATAAAGTAAATCTCTTGGCAAGCCCGGCTCGCACCGGTTCACCGCTTTATGGACTTAAGGAGAGAAGTAGCTCGAGGTGAAGCAGGTGGCAGGTTTGTTATCAGGACTTCCGATTGGCCTGGCCCGTGCTCCGTTCGCCGCGGAGACGTGGCCCGCCCAACCACACGATATTTCCACGTCAACGTTGCTCATTTTTTCCCGCCATGCGATTAGAATAACTGGTCGACGGACGTTCTGCGTCACTGAATTCGTTCTTCTGTTCCCCCTCTTCAACCGGTTTAACACCGAAACTATCGGACAGATCAAATTGACCCACTTCGGAATCTTTATTTTGCAAATATTTAAATTATGACGGCGTGTTTCCGAAAGATCTTCAATGAAATTTGTGTATCTATACAGGTGCAGGAGTAGGAGGCTCCTCGAATCTCAAGAAACGTGTTTTTTTAATTTTCATTACAAATTTGGAATAAGTTAATTTAATTGTTCGGTAGTTTTAGTATTGACACTTAGATTTACGCACGTTCATTATATTGTTTCTAGATAAATGTTAATTTCTAAAATAAATATTTCAAAGTTCCGATTTTATAATTAAATTTTATATATTTACAAATCATCGTAATTTAATATTCTAGAATGAAAATATTAATTTTTAATATTGAAGTATTAACGTTTTTCAAATTAATATCTCACGTGAACATATTACACTGTACAAGAAATACACTTAAAGTAACAGAAGATTTACAGTC